ACTTCTGGGAGTGCCACACACAAAACATGTACTTAAAATACACCAGCTCCGCACTGTGCACAAACTAAGACTTAACCTTGACAAAAGATAAATAAATAAAAATAAATAATTAATTAATAACACAATTTGTATTAGGCCTATATCTTACCCTATAACCAAGGGATATGTATGTTTACTAGTTACTATATGTGGTGATAATTGGTAAGCAGTAGGCTCTGCACTTGCTTAAAGCTTTGGTTGATCTAAATTTCTAATAATGCTTTTCATGATACTGTATAATTGACAAAAAATATCAAAATGTACAAGTAATATTACATGAAGAGACAAAATATACATGTTTGGTTGATTTAAAGGATTTTTTATAAGGATGCAACCATCACTGATTGTGATATGTGCAAAGATTACAATGTTAAGTTAAAAGGCCTGCTCCTGATTATTATAGCATTTGGGGAATTTTTGTATAACCAGCTCTTGAATCAGAATAAGTTTGCTGTGTACGGTCTGCATGTAATTATAAAGATTTTCTTGTTTAAGAATCAGGAAGTGATCAATTAGCATACTAGTTTACTTTACAACTTGGGCTCTGAAAGTTGTGAATATTACTAACATATAAACTCATGATAGTGAATAATAAAGATGCTCTGAATTCATAAGATAAGTAAGGAATAACTTTAAAATTAGGTACTCCACATTTATAACAAGCAAAAGCATTCCATTACTTTTTGTCATGTTTGCTCCAGATACTCCACGGTTCCTAATGTTCTTTGGGATCCTTGTGGGGATTTCCAGAACATGTTGCACCAGGTTAAGATCTCTGGTCCTTTTATCTTGTGCATATCTCTGATAACCATATCTGTGCATATCTTATATGTAAAGAATGTAACACTATCAGAATGACCTGATAAAGTCTGACCTTCTGTCATAAAAAAAGTAAACGTCATTAGAGTTTTAAACCAAAAATAAATACATGTATTTATTTATTTATTTATTTAAATAAATAAATAAATAAATATTTATTTATGCATATGCATATACATTTACCTTTACATACATACATACTTTACATCCAAACTGATACATCAGTTTAAGTTGGACAGTTGAGACAAAGTAATCACATAATGAGACCACTTCATGTTTCACACAGTATTGGAGTATTGTCAAAAACCACCACGGTATCGTCAACATTGCACAGTGACCACTAAGGGGAAGTATATGAGCCTATCTGCTCATGATGAAAGGTCAAACTTTGCATCTATTTGCCATTTCCATTGCAATATACCCAACACATCCAATAATTAGTCATAGTTTGTTACACTACACAACTATAACTTTGAACAAAAACAAAAAAAAAACAAAAAAAAACAAAACAAACAAGCAGCAACAAACAAAAAAACTCGAACTAACTGGATCCTTTCTGCCACCGACTTTAATAAATGTCCTATATGCAAAATCGACTTGCCATATTATAATGATTAATTCAGTAGAGACGGGCAATACCAGATCTGAAATTATCCCCCAAAAAATTTCTGTTTAGAAGAAGAACTCTGCCTAAATATGAAGATCTTGTGTGTTAAACATGTGTGAATGAAACAAAACACAGCTTCAGGTCTGTTTTGATGAGGAAACAACATTATAACATAGATCAGAAAATAGTATAATTTTAATGTCAGACCCTTTAATGTCAAAATGTAAAGATTAAATTATGCTACTGATTTCAATGTTTTTATAGTAGTTTACCTAGATAATTTGTGACATTTTTAGTACTTCAGCCAATGTAACCGTTCGCATAAGTGCTTCCTCACCACATAAGCTCCCCATACACTGCAGATCACAGGCGGACAGAGGAAGTTGGGGGTCTTAAATCTATCAACACCCTCATAGGGGTTAAAGGTCAGATGACGAGGGATTACAGGGAATGAGGTTCTCTAAGTGAGAGAGACAGGCACAGACTTTACATGCTCATCCCCGTGTTTATCTATAACTTCAGTGCCCCATAATATCAAGATTATCAAGATTAAGTCACCTTTGTTTTTTCAAATGTCTAACAGCGAATTGTATTTGTGCATGAATAATCATTTGCATTGGCATCGCATGACTTTGGACACACACTACAGCACTTAAAAGAAACTGAAATAAGAATTACATTCAAGCATTATTTCCTCCCAATATGTGCCTCATCTCCTTTTCTATTCCTGTTCTCTTTCTCTCTCTCTCTCTCTCTGCCCCCTTCTCTATCTCCCTTTCTCGCTGCTCTCTACGAGTCATAGGCCACCTTTTGTCTCCATGCAAAAACTCAAATTCCTCCAGCCTCTGCCCACAGTTACACACACAAGCATTCCCCTGCTCGGCAACAATGAGCTCTTTGTGTTGCACACCGCCCGTGTTTTCATTTCATTTTTTTATTGCTTTTGAGCTCCTTGAGTGGAGAATTTAATCATCTCTCTCCTGGTTCCTGAGCTTGGTTTTGAAAAGAATTTTCTTTGTTGGACGGTGGTCGTCTGGGAGGCCAACAGCTGTGGAGTGTATTCCAATGAAGCATACACACGCTTTGACAAGAGCCAAGGACAAAGGCACAGGATGTTTGCAAATGCACCTGTCTACTGTTTTTCAACTCTTATCATTGCCACTCCTAACTTAGCCCTAAACAGAAACCGAAAGTGCAAGTCCCAGCAGCCACTTACAACTAAAACTAACATTTCTGGGGGAGGGTTTGCCACCTGCTTTTCTCCATGGAGAATGTTTGACAGTAGGCAGTAACTTATATAGTAACTATTTATTTAATTATGGTTGATTTTATTGCTCAAAAGTTTTGCTCATTCCTTGAAAAACATGCATTCTTACTATGAGTGCATGGGCTGTCTCTCCACAGATCTAACCTGTTACTTGGACTGGTGGTATCACCTGCTGGTCTCCATGGATATAGTTAAGTTTAATAATGCCATAATGTGGAACATTCTAGACAAAGCAATAACATCTTTATGGAAATAATCGGATGTCATGCACCAGAGGAGTTACATAGTGCACCTTTAATACACAGAACAATCTGAAATAAACCACAACATTTTCCCAAACAATTTGTGCTACAACATGTATTGGTAGGTGGTTAAATTTCCTTACTTCTGTTCCATAGAAAACCTGAAAGATTTATGGAAAAAAACAAAACAAAAAACTACCACTCTAGTTTGAAGACTAACCAAAATGACAAAGACTGTGAGGATCAAGGATCTGTTCTAGAGATCAAATAGAAGTGTGACAATTAGAAGAGGTCAGTGAAGCCAAGCAAGAAGCTCCTTTTGTTAAAATAAACACATTCTGAATACACTTTCCACTTTAAACTACTTAAAAAAAAAAAAAAAGCGTGATAGTTCTAACAAGACAGTGACCTCAAAAGGACCATCTTGACTTCCAACCATCAAGATGCTGTTTCAGAGTCCAATTTCCCCTGTAATATCTGTTTGCATATGCTGGAAGCAGCACACAGAACAGAAGAAAACTGTTCATATACAGAGTACTTCAATAAATCACAGTATAACGATAAGTCTTGATTTATTTGTAAATACAGTTCGTAAATACATCCATACATCCATGTTTCTCCATCTTATGCAGGACCTGGTATACAGCATTCTAATCAGAGACTCACATATTTCTCTCTCCCCAGACAGTTCCTTCAGCTCCTCCACAGAGACTCCAAGTTGTTCCCAGGACATGAAGAAAACAACATTATGGTTAACCAAGACAAGGGGGCCTTTTT